AAAACTATGTAGTATAATTATGACATTGTTTATTTTATCTATATTGATTATGTAATGAATTATTAATCATAATAGAGATCTCATTAAAACTGTTATAATTAATGATTTTGATAAACACTATAGTTATTTTTTCATTTTATAATACATTTTATGCGCCATATTTTGCTTTAAAATAGGTTATATGGCATAAAAAGCAGTAATTGAAATTTTTATTTTTTAGAATTCACAGATTTATACCAATGCATAACTCTTTTAAGTATTAACTAAAATTTCTGAAATTTTGAAAATCCAATTTTTTTTGATAAATTTAAGCATATATTTATTGTAGTAGTGTATATGCAGCTTTTATGACTTTATTCAAGTAATTTTCAGCCTAAAATATGACCTTTTTAATGCCTTTGTTTAATTCAACTTTATTGTGGTGATTATCCTGGCCCAACCATTTCTATACTCATCAAAAGGTGTCAAAACAATCACAAACAAAGAAAACAATAAGAAACTATAAAACAAAGAAACAGAAAGACAACCAAAGAACGTTATGATGGATAAATACGCTGGTTCTGTATTAAGAAGATGGAGTGAGAATGCTGATAGAGAAGGATATTTAAACACAACACCTCATGATTTGAACGAATCTAATGTATTTGGATTAGATAGTGAAGAGATTCAAGAATCATGGATCGAATTAGATAAATATAAAGATCCAAAAGATGATGATAATAATGAGTCAGAGAAAGATGATGATAGTGAAACAATACAAATGAATGAAGATGAAGTATATAATCATAAACCAAATAGTATCAGGTTTGATAAGCATAGACATAGTACTAGTTCCCCCACATTTGATTTGAATACTTCATTAACAACAATTTTATCAAAAGAACAACAACATCCAATAGATTCTACAACTGATAATTCACAACAATTGATATTTATGAATGTTTCAAATTCCTCATCAATGATTTCAACTGATAGTTCAACATCTGGGCCAATTTATAAATCTAAAAAAAGGAAAAGAAGTGGCAATTCACAAAATTATAATAATTCTTCAGATGATTTTTCAAATACTATAGTCTTCATAACAATTGTTGCTGGGTTAAGTTTTAGTGCTGGTTATGCTTTGGGTCAAAGTAAAAGACATTAGCTTGTGTTTAATGTTTTGGTTTGTTTTTGGTTGTGTTTTGATATTTATTTATATAGGGTAATTGATATGGTTAATAATAAGATGTTTATGGTATTTATGGTGGTGTTTTCAAAGATATGATATATATATATATTTATGGGTAATAATAATACATTCTATGCTTTAAGATTTATGTAGTTTAGATACAAAAAATCAACCTACATTTCATAATATATTAATTTCAACTTCATGTAATCATTAAAAAAGAGCCATGCTATGTATATAAATATTTTATCAGAGCGCTAAGTAGAAACATAATAATCAGTATATTATTATTAAATCAGCTTATCTATTTTGCCTTTTTTTCAGCTTTTTTCTTCATTTTTTCCTCTCTACTAACTTTTGCTTCACCACCAGATTCAGTATCTAAAGTATAATCCCACCATCTAAAACTTGAAGCATAATTACCAATGAAATAATGATGATGTAAATCATGATGTTCAGCACCAGCCCAAAATGGGATGAATTTATTTAATGACCAAGGGAAGTCATAACCAGAATGTGAATCAACAGCTTGAAATAATCTAAGAGTAATCCAACAACATAAAGTAAATAAATGTAAATCACCAGTAAAATAAACCCAAGCAATTGGCATTCCAACAGTACCAACACCTAATGATAAGACTTCAACAGGATGAGCATATTCAGCTGTTAACCCAAATGGAGCAGCATAACGATGATGTTGTTTATGAATATATTTATAGAAAACTCCATAATGGAATAATCTATGAGCCCAATAATGCCACATATCTTCCAATACAAAGAAGATTGTAATTTGTCTCAACATTGTAAGATAATGAGGAAATGGAACTTGAATTGAAATACCTAATTTTTCACACATTGGATGGAAAGTCCAAATTGGTATAGCTTCAACTAAGAAATGTTGTAATAAGACAGATTTAAAACATTCCCATTGTTCTTTATCAGATGGGATTTTGGTTGGTTGAATTTTCCATTTTCTAAAAAATGGAATCTTATCAATAATAAACCATGGTAAACAACGACCAAAATACATAACTTCATGTAATACAAAAAATAATAAACCAGTTGCTAAAATATCATTTTGCATATAATGATACCAAGATGCCCAATATTGTTCTATTATGTTTAATTGTGGTTGTGTTTGAGTGATTAATTCCACTGCATCTTTAAAAGTGGAAGATACTGGTAATACCGTTGTAGTATTCTGGAATACTTGTGACATTATGCTGTTGTATATGAAAGATGTTGATTTCTGATGTATTTTATTGATTGTTCCATTATGAGGGAAGATCAATTGTATTTATATGACAACATTCTCCTATCTCAATGATCCCATTCGTTTAATGCAAGTTAAGGGAAAATACCTTGAAATTGAACCATGTTATTTTGTGACAATTTTATCTGATGTTATTTGCATGTATAACCAAACGACAATGGATTTAATGAGAGGTATACGATAAACGAAATGGACCTAGAAAGATAAATCTCATAGTGGCACTGAAGTCCACGAGCCTAGCTTTACTAAGCACAAGCGTAATACTAGCATGCTACCCATTCCCTTTACAGCCTTTTCAAACTAAACCAGCCTAGTTGTTGTTCAAATTCTGATCTCATGTTGTTCCTTCCCGTAAAAATGGCCTGACTTTGTTGAAAAAAACTGACGTGCATTTTGATGTTTTAAAGGTAAACGAATGACTGTCGTTTAATAAAACCGTCAAATAGAGTGTCGTATAGCAAGTAGAATAAAGTGTTATCAAATGACATCAGAATACAAGTACATTATCATCGTTTAAACTATTAATGTAAGAATAAAGTACTTTAATGATGATTATTACCCACGGATATTGTCGCCTGTGTATCACATGACGCGTCACATGACAGTTTTTTTCATTTTTATTGTGGAGTTGTGGCTCCTTATTTCCATTGAAATCAAATCTTTTATACTTGACATCCTTTTTTAAACAACTGTTAACTTAAAGTCAATTGAATAATATAAACACATAGATTTTAATAATGTCATACGGAACTAAAGCTTTACAAAGAATTGCAGGTAAAACAGTCTTCATTACAGGTGCTTCATCAGGTATTGGTAAAGCAACAGCATTAGAATATGCAGAAGCATCTCAAGGTAATTTAAAATTAATTTTAGTTGCAAGAAGAATTGAAAAATTAGAAAGTTTAAAAAATGAATTAAATACCAAGTATCCAACTTTGAAAACATTTATTGGTAAATTAGATGTTAGTATTAAAGGTTCAATTAAACCATTTTTATCAGAATTACCAACTGAATTCCAAGATATTGATATTTTGGTTAATAATGCAGGTAAAGCTTTAGGTAATGCAAAAGTTGGTTTAATTGATGAAAAAGATATTAATGAAACTTTTGATACAAATGTCCTTGGGTTAATTTCAATAACTCAAGCAGTTTTACCAATTTTCCAAAAAAAAAATTCAGGTGATATTGTTAATATTGGTTCAATTGCAGGTAGAGATGCTTATCCAGGTGGTTCAATTTATTGTGCATCAAAATTTGCCGTAAGAGCATTTACAGAATCTTTAAGAAAAGAATTAATTAATACCAAAATTAGAGTTATTGAAATTCAACCAGGTGCAGTTAATACAGAATTTTCCACAGTTCGTAATTATGGTGATCAATCAAAAGCAGATGCAGTTTATAAAGGTCGTGAACCATTATATGGAGAAGATATTGCAGAATTGATTGTATTTGCAACTACAAGAAATCCAAATACAGTTATTGCAGAATTATTAGTTTTCCCAAGTGATCAAGCAAGTGCATCTCATGTTTATAAAAGGGAATAGAATCTTTCAATTGAGTATAAAATAATACATGAACCACTAAACTTTACCGATATGATAACTAATGTAGTAACTTGAGTCATTAATAAAGATTTAATATACCATAGTGTAATAGTCTATACATATTTATCATAGATTTATAGGTATTCCAGCCAATAATATTGAAGCTTGTGACAGTTCCGTAGAGTATATGTTGCACTAAACATACGCGCACTCCTATAAAACAATTGCACCTTTGTGAACCGAAAGCAAACAAAGGATTCCTACAATCGTACTACTACTGATCAATTACATACCAGTGTATTAGATATGTTACAATTGAGTTACTTCCACGGGTATTTGTTCATGATATTCTGCTGTTTTTTCATTGAATATCCGTGTTTCTCGTTATGAATTGACTTCCATGGATCTGGTCTAAACTACCATGAAATTATACTTTTCAGTTACCCCATAAATTGATTAACAATGACACAATATTTGAGAAAACCAGGTGAAAAATGGGATAACATTAATATCGCGTACCGAGAATTGATCCCATATTATAAAATTATTAGTACACTGATCAATTTAAGGATATTTTAATCCGTGGAGATGTTTGCTTTGTAATTTTAGTGGTTGTTAAATAAAGTTTAATTCAAGGGGTAATAAAAAATCAGATCTATATAAACCCATTGGAATTCCTGAATGTAAACCTTTTCATCTATAGCTATAATACATCCATATCAATTCAATTGATTATAGTCATACTACAACATGTCAAAGAAAATTCTTTCAGTTTTATTTAAAGGTGGTGAATATAACACACCAAAATTATTAGGATCAGCAGAAAATGCCCTTGGTCTCAAGAAATTCTTTGAAGAAAATGGTCGTTCATTAGTTTCAACAAGTGATAAAGGTTCCACCATAGATGAACATATTAAAGATGCAGAAATTGTTATTTCAACACCTTTTAATCCAGTTTATATTGATCAAAAAAGAATTGAATCTGCTAAGAATTTAAAATTATTAGTTACTGCAGGTGTTGGTTCTGATCATATTGATTTAGATTATATTCAAAAATCTGGTAGAAAAATTAGTGTTTTGGAAGTTACAGGTTCAAATACAACATCAGTTGCAGAACACGCGGTATTAACAATCTTATCATTGATTAAAAATTTTATCCCGGCTCATGAATCAATTAAAGGTGATAATTGGGATATTGCAAGAATTTCAAGAGATGCTTATGATTTAGAAGGTAAAACTATAGCAACAATTGGTGCAGGTAGAATTGGTTATAAAATCTTGGAAAGATTAGTTCCATTTAAACCAAAAGAATTATTATATTATGATTATCAACCATTAAGTGAAGAATTAAGATCAAAAGTTAATGCAACAAGAATTGATTCAATTGAAGAATTAGTCTCCAAAGCTGATATTGTTACTGTTAATGCTCCATTACATAGTGGTACAAAAGGATTAATTAACAAGGAATTATTATCAAAATTTAAAGATGGTGCTTATTTAGTTAATACTGCAAGAGGTGCAATTGCAGTTCCAGAAGATGTTGCAGCTGCTTTGAAAAGTGGGAAATTAAGTGGATATGGTGGTGATGTTTGGTATCCACAACCACCACCAGCAAATCATCCATGGAGAACAATGAGTAATGTTTATGGTGATGGTAATGCAATGACACCACATATTTCAGGATCTAATTTAGATGCACAAGCTCGTTATTCATTAGGTGTTAAGAATATTTTAACTAGTTATTTCACTGGGAAATTAGACTATAGACCTCAAGATATTATTTTATTAGATGGTCAATATGTTACTAAAGCTTATGGTGCTGATAAAGTTAAAAAGTAGGTGGATAGTACATGTTTTTATAGCTTATAATTTCAATAAGATATACCCTGGTGGTGTATATTCTAGCTGTTAGTATAATACTTAAATAGCTTTACTCAAATATGATTTATGTCAGTATTCAAATTTGTAAACTTGTATAATTAATAGTGTATAGATACTACTGATTATTTCATCATTACATAATCGATCCCTTAACTACTATAAACTATTGAATTATATAAACTACTAATACTTTTGTTTATATCGAATAAGAGCAGCTATATATTATATCACCATTACTATTAATAGTCATTAATTTGTTTGTTTATTTACTTTACCATTGCTGTTTATATGACACATTCCAAATCGGATATACTTGAGATTAACTTTATACAATAGGCTATAAAGTACGGCGTGTATAAGGCTTATAAACATCATGGTAATTTAGACTGAGAAGATAAACCATTTAGATCAAAAACCATGCAAGTGAATGTCCAGTATCGGGATAACTCTTGTGTTCTTGGATTGTGGATTACTACACCGAAGTACGGAGCATTAAGTATTCGTTAAAATTTGCAATAAGTCAAAGTAGCACTAACGGAAGAGATGAGTCAATGAGTCAAGTCAACGGTGGAGGTCGGGAAGAGAAATACAATCAACTAGTATATCATATGGTATAATATATTATTTATTATATCTATATATTATCTAGTATATCTATTATATCGTAGGTTATTGATCTAAACAGTCTTTTCTTTTAATTCCCATTCATTTCATTAACTTTTCTTTACTGGTTAATTTGTTTCTTTTAAAGCTTTTCATGACTTTTCCAATCCCGGAGAATCCCTCGTTTCTTTTGAAGATGAAAAACAATAACTTTATCCGAAAATCACCGTATAATAAATAACATGATAATTATTTATATTTTGAGATTCCTTGAAATTATATACTTTTATATCTTGTATATAGTATCAATAGTATTCAATAGACCATATACCATAGACACTTTCACAATGTACTCTACACTACCCCATGAATTACAACTAAACATTCTTTCACAATCATCAGATCTACAACAAGTCTCCCATATTGATCAACATCATTATAATTTGACACAATATATCATACAATCAAAATTACAACATTATTTAACTAAAACTCCATTATTACTATCATTATTCAGTCCAAATAATAAAGAATCAAATATCAAGAATTTTTATAATATTTCATATGATGTACATTCAAATTATACAAGTTTTCAAATAAATAATTTAAATCATAAAGAAAATTTATTCCATAAGGATATCAATACAAAACCATCAGTTTCATTAAACCAAAAAAATCATTTAGATCTTGTCCTAAACGAGGATCAAACAACAACAAAGCTTTCATTAAACCTAATCATTGGTTCTCAATCATTTGATACTGGATTTAAATTAAATAAATTTAAACCACATGCATCACAAGTTAAAGATGGGTTGAAGTTGAGTTATAGTTTACAAGAAGGTGAATTAGAACCTGCTAAAGGTGGATATGATTATGAATTGAATTATAATTATTCTTTGAATTTTCAAGAGATTAAAATTGATAATTTTGAATTGTTGAGAGTTTTAGAGAATGATGGTGGAATGATTTTGAGATATTAAGCAATTCTGAGCGGTTACGCGAAGAATTGGAATATATTATTAATATTACTTCAGAGTTAAAAGGATGCTTGAAATGAAAGGAAGCTTGAAGGGAAAAGTTATTAGGTTGAAAGGAATATCAAGGACAAGATTAAAAGAAGATCAACATTAGATATTCAACGCATTTTGAATTTTTTGCATATAAAAAGTACATAGAGTATATACATAATACTTAATTAATGAATTAATGAACATATAAACAAAAACAGACCAATTATATTGTAATAATTTAAGCTTAACTCAACACATTTTGTAACTGATTCAATCCATCATTCAATACATCTTGAAAATGATTCAATCCATAAGCTAAATCATCTTTTTGTTTTTCTTTCTTTATTAAATTCAATGGGCCTTTCTTAATCATATTTGTTAAAATCTCATAAATAATTTGTGAACCTGCCGTGGCAGTAATTTCTGCATGATCATAACTTGGACTAACTTCAACTAAATCTGCTCCAACAATATTAAAATCTTCTAAAGATCTAATTAAATAAATTAATTCTCTTGTTAATAATCCACCAGGTTCAATTGTCCCCGTTGCAGGTGCTACTGAAGGATCTAAGACATCAATATCAACACTTATATACACAGGTTCATCATGGGGTAATCTTGATTTAATCTTTTGTGCTATGCGTTGAAGACCAGCTGGCTCCATGATTTCATCAGAATGAATTCTTAACCAACCTTGAGAATCATCTTCATTATAATCTTCCCATCCTGTTAATCTTGATCTTAAACCAACATGAACATTTTTATCATTAATTAAACCTTCTTCATTTGCCATCCAAAGCATTGAACCATGTGTAAATTCTTGAGATTTCCAATATGATGAATATTTTTTAGGTGACCACGTATCTAAATGAGAATCAAAATGAATAACATTTATTTTCCCATATTTTTGATATAAATTTCTTAAAGAAGATAACAAGATTGAATGATCACCACCAAGCATAATCAATCTTGGTATTTGATCCCCCTCTGAACTTTCAGTCTCTCTTTTCAATAATTCTTTATAACCTTCATCCATTTGTCTCAAGGCAACTTCATTATCCATTGGAGTTATAGGAACATCACCACAATCCAATACTTTAGCCCATGATTCATATGGATTTAAACCAGCTCTAAAATTAAAACCCTGGGATTTTGATTGTCTTGATGATGCTATTCTTAAAGCTCTTGGACCAAAACGGGCACCTGGTCTATATGTGACTGCTGTATCAAAGGGCATACCAATTATACCGATATCAAATGATTCATTGGGGGTTATTAGACATTTTTTGTATGGTAGTTTGGCGAATGATAATGGACCTGTAAATGTCCAATCTGAACCCCATAGTTCTTCTAATGAAGGTTGAGATTCAAGTTGTTGTTGTTGATCATGTTGTTGATGACATAGTACTGAATTTAGATGGAATAGTATTAATAAGTAATTTAGTTTCATGATTGTTGATGTTTGACGTTTTGGTTTGTTTTGAAGGTGGATTTGTTGAGGATTGATGATGTTTTATATATAGTCTCTTATCTTTTATTGTTATCGGAGTTATTCAACTATTCAACATCGGCGTAGTTATATTGATGATCTTTTGAATCTTTTGAGGCTTTACATCATTTAATGGAAAGTAATGGCTTATGTTGATGTACATATTGACAATTCGCTAGCGGGTTTTTGATCAATTGGGTATCGCTTAGTATTATATAATACCCTACAAGAACTTGAAATAAATACTATCCATATTAAAACAACTCTAAATAACTCCATAAAACAATTGAATAATAAAACACAACTTATGAAAAAACACCATTTGAATTTTTTAAAACATCAATTAAAAATTTATCAATTTCACTCCATCTTCTTGTAGTCGTTAACACTAAACATAAGAAATAAAAAGTAAATGTAAAAATCATATAACTTGAAACTAATATTGAGTAACTTGTATAAACCATTATAGTTAAAACCTTGGTCCAATTGTTTAAATTTGCTAAGCCAAATTCATACATAATTATATTACAAAATTTATAAATTAATCCATCAGTTGTGGTTCCCTGTGTGTTATTATAAAATTCAAAAATATCAAATAAAATATCTTGACTAAATGTAACTGCACTTAATAATTTTTTCAATATTCTTGCCAAAAGGATAGGAAATAATCCAAATCCAATTATATCAATTAAATTTTTAATAAATTGAAATGATTGATTTGTTCTATTTAATCTTGTTGATGATTCTCTCAAGATTTCTTCACGAGTTGTTTGATCTGTATTATTAAGGAAATTTTGAATGAAATTTGATACTTGTTCATCTTCAACTTGTGACATGTCAGGTCTTTGTGTTGTATTAGGTCTTTGTGGTTCAAATAGAGGCATTATGATATGAGTTATTGATTATTGATGGTGAAGATGATGGTGAAGAATGTTGTTGAATTTGAAATCTTGTAAAGTCCTTGTTTAAACAAAAGACAAAAGATTTCGCGGGTAGTTAAACAAAACATCAACAGATCATCAAACAAATCATCAACGACATTGAAGGGTATTCATCACAGGTCTAAGTGTTCTTTCAAATATGTTACAATTTATTCTATTCCTCTGCTTTAGTCTATTAGTCCATGCAAACACAGAAGCATTCTATTTCCAAATACCCAAGAACTCATCATCATTAGATACTTATCCATTAATAACAATTGATCAAATAAATGAGATCACCATTGAAGTCCCATCCCCTAATTCACAAGAACATGTTGTTCAATGGTATCAAATAGCTGATGTTCCTGGTATATACAATGCTAGGATCTCATGGAGTGCATTGGTATGTATCTGTTTAATTATAACTATGATTTATACTAACATATACAACAGGATCCAATTGATTTAATTCATTTTGATTATAAAGATCAGGATGATAATGAAAATAAAGGTAATTTCTTTTATTTGGAATTGAAATATGATTGTTATACCAAAGATCAAGAATTCATGTCAAATAATCATAATGTTGATTTTAAAATATGTGAGTATAATCAACAATAGTGTGTACGTCTTTTGAGGCAGATTACTAACACAAGATTAAAGATATAAGTTCTACATGGGTTTACATACCTAAGGATTTGATACCAAATGTTGGATTGATTATATCGTTATTGATTATTGGGGTTTCTATTCATGGATATGTTTATAAATTGCTTCAATCTATATAAGATTAATACCCATTATAAAACACCCAAATACAACCAAACAACTCAACATCAGAACATTCAGAACTAGACATTCAAGAACCAACAAAGAGTAAATACTAAAACAATATTAAATATTAAAATAACACGCTTAAGCAATTGTTCAATATTCTGATCTAATATAAAATCAAAAGGAAGTAGATTCTCTTTTTGGAACAGTTTCCGTATATGAAAAAAAAATTTAAAATTCCCGAGGAAATAACAAATTCAAAGCTATTAAAACATTGGAATATTAGTGGGATACTAGTACTATTATACACCCAATATACAGGAAACACATACTGAATCAAAGACTTAAAACCGTAGTCAATAGTTACATCCTTGAACTAAATCTAGTACTATTCATTGTAGCTCTTCGTATTTTATTATGGGTGTTAATCTATTTAATCAGTATACGCGAAAACGGACCATATACCAAAAGAAACCAAAATCCGTTATAAGCTTTTGGGTATTAAAGTATTGGCATTTATACATCTTTCAAGTTTTCAACCGTATAAAAATTGATTGATTCCACTTATCTTTTCAATCAGTGATTTTGATCTTTAAGGAAGTAAAAGTATACTCATAATGACTCAATTTGGTACAAGAATCTTATTTATTGGTGGTTCATATGGTGGGTTAGCATCAATAAAAAAATTTATTTCACTATATATTGAAAATAATGCAACAAAACCAATTGAATTAATTTTATTAGATCCAAGAGCTGGGTTTATTAATATTTTGGGGATACCATTAGCTATTATTGATCCAAAATTTGCAGCTGAATCTTATTTAAACGTGGAAAATAATAATATAAAATTTAATCATGTTGAAACTCTTGATCCAATCTTGAAAAATAGAATCTTAAAAGCTAAAACAAATATTAAATCACCAGATACTTTAAAAATTTCATATATTCAAGGTTCATGTGTTTCATTCATTAATAAAAATTCAATAAATTATCAATTAACCGGTTCTGAAGATTTTAAACAATTATCATTTGATTATACCGTTTTCTCAACAGGTAGAAAAAGAGCATGGCCTTTTGATCCTCAAGGTTTTACTCAAGAACAATTTGTTAAAGAAATGGGTACATCAACTGCTAAAATTGAAAAAGCTAAAACTATAAGTATCATCGGTGCAGGTGCCCTTGGTATAGAAATTGCAGGTGAAATTAAAGCAGAAATGCCTGAAAAAAATGTTATTTTAATTCATCCACATCCTGATATCCCACCTGAAGTTTATGCTGCTAAAAATTTTAAAGTTAGTGTGGAAAAACATATTAGAGATTTAAATATTGATTTGAAGTTAAATACAAGAATTGCAAAAGAAGAAGAAAATGGTGATTTAATTACTACTACAGGTGATGTCATAAAATCAGAATTAAATTTTTGGTGTAATTTCCATTCAAATAATATTCAACCTTTTTTACCTGTTTTCCAAGATAAAGTTGAATTACCAAAAGGTGAAATAAAAGTTGAAGAAACTTTATTAGTGAAAGGCCTCAAGAATATATTTGCCATTGGTGATGTTGTTAATTTACCAATTATTAAAACTGCAGGTGGTGCATATCACCAGGGTGAACGTGTTGCAAATTCTTTATTCAATATTCTAATAAGAAATGAAGAAACTTATCATAAAGTTGATTTGAAAATTTATCCAGCTGGTATGACTGTTGTTATTGGGAGACATAAATCTGTTTCTCAATATAATAATATTGGAGATGGTGAAATTAAAGTTAATGATGAAGATGTTTTAGGATATTATCATGATTATTGTACTACTTCTACTAAGAATACTATGAATATTAATGGTGAATATGAAGAGGAAGAGTAAACTAGTATATACAACTTATAAATTGATGATTTTGATATAAATTTTTTTAATGTAAAGTGTAATTTCATACGACCAACTACATAATACTCATTAATCAAAGCAGATAAGCAATGTATATTAAATATCAAAAATGATGAAACTTATACTTCATTTGTGTTAGATATTGTAATCAATCAACAACAAAATAAATATAGTTTCACAGGAATAATCGATCCTTTAATAATAAACCAGATTTTTGACCATTCATCAGATAATTGGTCACTGAATCATGAGATCATTAAAAAATGATAAGCCAATAGACACACCAATCAGTGGAACAGAACACTAGTTTAAATAGAATCAGAAAGGTAGCTCAACGTTTTACAACTCGATATATGAGCACAAACAACAGAACGATAGAAGGTGAGAACCAAATATAATGGAAAATGCACGAGCACTTTATAAACCCTAAAGAGTTAAAGAGTTCAAGAGTTCAAGAGTTGAGGATTAAATTAAATAAATTTTTGCCTTTATAGATTCGCGGGTATACCATCAGAAAAAAAATTATTAACAGTAAACAAAAATTAAAACAAGATCAAAACCACCACCAAGCTCTACAAAGGAACCAGATCATGTCTGCTGGTGCTGCTGCTATGGCTGGTAAAGCTGCCTCCCAGGTATCACAAGCTGCTGCCACCGTCCTTCCCTCAACAGCTCGTTTACGGTTCCCTCTAAAGAAACAATATTACATACCATTAATTAGAGCTAGACCAAAGGGTAAAAATCATATAAGGAGAACTCCATTGTTAACTACAAGAGTTAAATCTCCATCATACCCCAAGAGATATGCTAAATCTGTTACACAATCATTTGGGAAAATTGATGAAGAGTTAAGAAGAAGGAAAAATATTCATTTGGATAAAGCTCGTGAAATTAGTTCCAAGATGTATGCCAATGAAATGAAACAAAAAGGTTTAATCAATACACGCGAGGAAAAGGAAAGACAAAGATCTGATTTATTAAATACTTTTAAATTTGGTACAAAATCTTATCAACGTTATAAAAAACATCATGGATCTGTGCAATCAATTGAAGATTCAAATTTAGTTAGAATTAAAAATTTCCAATTTTTCCTTGGGGAAGCTGAAAGGGAAGTTAAATCACCCAATAAAGATGAAATAACAAATGAATATTTGGAAAATTCAAATGATACTCAAAGTGAAGAAGAATTTATGCATATAATGGAAAAAATCGTTTATAAAAACATGGGTATATATCCTCAAAATATTCGTTTCAAAGCACTAAATGCAGTTTTAGAAATTTTAGCAGATTTAGAACAAAATGATCAATTATTAAGAGTTTCATCTGAGGAATTAAATAAATTATTTGAAATAATATTACCAATTACTGAAGATCCTCAATTAAGAATGAAGGCATTATATATTTCTGGGAATTTATTATATCGTTTAACGAAATTTGAAAATATGAGATTAGATAGAGTTGCATCTTATATTATTGCATGTATTATGAATCAACAAATTCAAGAAGCTTTAAATTTATTAAACCAATTTGATAATGATTTAAAAATTTGGTATAAATTAAAAATTTTACTTTGGATTAGTGCAGGTAATATGTATGAAGCTGAAAATTTAATTCAAGAATTGAAGAAAAAATTTAAAGTAAAATTTATTCATAATGATATTTATATCTCTCTAATTCAAAGATATTTACAAAGTGAAAATTTTGAAAGATTAGAACATTGGAGATTAGAATTTGAAAATTTAATTAAAGAAAAAGGTTTTAATCAAGATAAAAAATCTTCAAAATTAATGGGGAAATATGTTGAAGCTTCAGAACAAGAAAAATTAGAATATTTGGGACAATTTGGTCAAGTTACTTCTGGTCAATATTTACTAATTTTACAATTATATTTATCCAATAAGCAATTAAATGATATAGTCCCTGAGATGATTGAATTTTATTTAAAACAACCATTTACAAGTGTTAAAGATTTACAAGAATTATTAATTTCATTTAAATGGGAATTATCATCCAAAATTAGACCAACTTTAGAAAATTTATCTAAAAAATCTGCAGAAAAGCAATTATTAAAATATGTTGATGATTATCAATCTAAAAACCCTGAAATTGTTAAACAAGAACAATTTTTACAATCTTTTTTGCAAGAATTAGCATTTACAGGTGGATTTGTTTCTATTACATACATAATTGAAAATTTGATCAAGAATAAACAAACTCCAACAGAGGAACATTATATTGCTTTAATTATGGCATTAATGAAAAGAAAAGAAACAGAACGTGCATATAGAGTATTAACAGCATTAGAAGACTCACATTCAAACATTTTAAATGAAATAGAAAATAAGGGAGAAATTGAACCTTTTAAAATTGAAGAAAGATTAATCCCACCAGTTACACCAAAGATTTATTCATTATATTTAAAATATTTTTCAACACGTAAAAATCCTGAAGAATTTAATAAAATTTTGGAAAGAATTGATAAATCTGGATTTGAAAATCATCCAGTTATTTTAAGTACTATATTAAAATCATTATACATGAATAATGAATTAGGTGAAGCTTTATTAATCATTGATGAAATTTTATTAAATAATATCCATTATACAATGGTTAATAAAACTGATTATTCATTTTTAGGAATTTATCAACAAATTTGGAGAATTATTAGAAAAATTTTAATTGAAAATAAACGTGGTAATTCATCAAATATACCAGATTTAAGATTTTTATTTATGAAGATGATTAATGATAATACAGTACCAACATCAAAATTATATAATGATATTATTGATTGTTTTATAAGAAATAATGATTTTTATGGAACTATTTGTGTTATACAATATATGGGTAAAGTTCATAGAATTTCACCACATAAAAGTACAAGATCAAAAATCAAGAAAATATGTAATAAATTAAAATATGATTCAAATATTTTTAAAATTTATCCAACTTTACATCATCAATCAAGATATTCAATTATTAGTAATAATGATAAATATTATAATGCATTTATTGAAATGAAAAAATCCCAACCAAATTTAAATTCAAGTGAATCATCAATGGATCCATTCACACCAAAAGATCCAATTCAAGAATCTCAAGATACAAGATTACAAGAACAAGGTGAAGATACAATAGATCGTGCATGGAAATATCTTGTAACACAAATGATGAGAGTCCTTACGGTACATAAAGATTTTAATAGAGAAACATTAGTACAAACACATGAAGATTTTAATTTAAATTATGAATGTGATAAAGTTGTTAAAGAATTTGAAGAATGGTTAAAAATTCCAAGATTAAGTAGATGGGAAATTTTCATTGAGAATACTAAAACTTTGAAAGAAATGGATCCTTTACCTGATATTGATACAGAGAAGAAACAATAGACCAATCAAAAGAGTATAATATAGACTAGAACTTGTATATAAATTAATGAATTTAATGAATTTTTTTGATATTTAATTGTATAATATTGGAGTGTTATATAGCCTTTATATGTTCGCGAAAACATCTGGGTTACCCTCCTAGTTTTGATCATGATCATTTGCCATTGTAATAAATTAAGTATGACTTTAATTCAATTGACATCAATTCAATTAAAACATCAATTAAATATCAATTAAAGTATCAATTGAAACAATCAACAATCATGTCCAACATTGACGAATCAAAATTATCACCACAAGAATTAAAATTATATAAATTATATGGTAAATTACCAACAAAAAATGAAGTTTTAACAAATAAATTACAAGAACGTAAATATTTTGATTCTGGTGATTATGCTTTAAATCAAGCTGGTGTTAAAGATATAAATACAAAATTATCAAATAAACATTTAAATCCTCAAGAAATTTTAAGAATTAATAGAAATTCTGTTAGTGGTACAAGTCCTGGTAAATCATCATTAGAAAATGAAGCAAAATTAGATGAGAAATGAAGGAAGGACCTAGGTGGTTTAGTTTAGCTGGTGGTTTAAGTGGATGAATAGCTAGGGGGTTCAATTGGTTTCTTTGCATGTTTTATTATCGTTATATTCTTTTTTTTTTACTTTTTTAACAATTTTTAACAACTTTTTTTTACAATGTTATATGTTATATAAGGGGATGGGTGCTTTACATATTTTAAATATTATGTCATTATATCATATATTGATCATTAAATTTATATTTATATAAATCACTGTAGTATACAATTGAATCTCCTTTATCGATTTCTATTGAAATAAATATCTTCCAATTTTACCAAATATAATTAAACCAAAAAAGAAAAAATTTCCTAACCATAACATTATTGCACTAAATTCATAATCTTGATTCCAATTTTTTGGTAAACCTTCCAATACAACAACAGAAAAACTTGCAATTGAAGCAATTGTAACACTTGTTAAAAATCCTGATAAAGTACCATCTAATAATAACCATAAACATGGACTTAATAATGACCATGCAATTGAAGCTTGAATTGATGAATTCCATTCAATTTTTCTCACTGCAAATGAAACACCTAAGAATGCAACTGAAGCTCTAATAATTGAATTTGAATCAATTTTTGTTTGAATTTTCCCAGATTTTAAATTAAAGATATAATCAATTAAAGGTTGAATTAAACCAAATATGATTCCCTCAATTGAATAAATAACCCATTTTGGAACTGAATCATGGAAAACAAGGGCATTACCTATTTTAATACCAATTTCTAAAGGTTTTGAAGCTAATTCTGGAACAAGGATATGATTATCATGAATATGTTGACCTAATTGATTATATAAAATTCCTGAAATACTTAAAATAAATAATGAAATGATGATTTTGGTAAAAGATAAATGATTTGGCTTGTTATGTGAAATTTCATTTTGTAATTTGCTTTGATTTTTAGCAATATTTGAATTTAATGAATCATAAATTTCATTATCATTATTATCTTGATCAATATCATTCTTGTTATAAATATCGTATAAAGGTGAGCTAACGTCTGATTCTTTGAGAACGTCTTGAGACATGGCTGGATCAATTCTTTATTATAATATGATTGTTAAATAGTTGTAATTGTTGATTGTTTGTTATTGTTGAGTAAAAAACAATTTGGATTATTTCCCATCGTTTAAATATTTAGAAATGAGTATCGGTATGGGACACAGACTCATAATAAGAACTCATATTTTACCTACAAATAATGAACATAGTATATGATAATAATTGTATAAATATATTCTATTGTATAGCTAATATCTAGATCTATAATCTAATTGTTTTTTGTTTTTTCTTCCACTTGTTTACCATAAATTAAAGATTGAATAGGTTTATGTAAATTATTTGAAATTTGATAAAATAAAAATCCAAAAACACCAACAATAACAAATATGATAACTCTTTCCTTGGTATCCACATTCAAGAAAGGATAAGGATATGAAGCAGGTGGTTTAATCAAACTTTCCAATAAAATCCAATAAGATGAAGTTAATCCAATAACTAACCCAAAGACAATCTTGGAATTAATATTAAAATTTTTAAATTTAATTAAATAATAATCAATTGATAAAAAAGTAATTGGGAAAAGATGAATACTCATATCAATATATAATGGTATGAAATTTTCAGGTTTAACACCTTTAGGTATAATTAAATAAATGAAAAAAATTCTTAAAATCCAATAAATTAAAGCAACTAAAGTTTCCAAGATGATTGTTATAGCATTTAAATAAATATTCAACCCTAATATCAAACTATTTGGATAAATAACAGTTATTATATTTGATAATATAGTTATTATGGTGAAGATTAATGATAAATTTGTTAAGAATTGGAAATGACCTGCAGATTCTAATTCTTTTGGTAAAGGTAATGAAAAAATTGCATTTAGTGCTAATGAAGTTATAGTTAAACCAATTAGATTAAAGAATAGATATGATTTATGATTAAGTCTATTTATTTTGGATAATGGATGTGTCATTATGATCTTGAATCTTGGTATTAATATGATATGATATTGACTGTGTATATCTTTGATTTGTTTAATAGTTTACAAATTTCAGATTGAACTAAATTTTAAAAAAAACGTTCTGGAAATCTAAAATTCTATACCGACTTTTTAACAGAATCGGAATCATCATTTAACCGAGGAATTAATAGCAATTGAAGTTAATTATTTAAACATTGGTAATTATGTTATTATTTAAATGTTCATGTTATTATTGAATTTATTTATTTGAATTATTTGGACTTTTTCCCAATTTAAACCAAGTTTATACGATGATTTTTGATTAACTTCATATAATATAATAGTAATACAATTATTGTTCATTAAATCATTAAACACATAATATTAATTGATAAATCTATTGATAAATCTATTGATAAATCTATTGAGTATGTTATAATCGTATCATTATATTATAATCCTTGTTATTTCTCATACCAACAATATCACAAATATCAACATTAACAATCCTATGAAAACCATTGGAGTTTTATTTAAATCAACATCATATTCAAATTGAATAGAATCAAATATATTTGTATTACCATCTTGATTACCCGTTATCAATGATTTAAAGAATGATATCAATGTCCTTATCTTTATGATTAAATTATCATTATTTATTATAAATTTCAATAATAGTATTAGACATAAGAATTGTAGTATATATTTATATTCTTTATAGAAATCTTTGATTTGATTTTGTTGTGATTGTTTTGATTGAAGTGTGGACATGATTGATTATCAATATAATGATTGTAGTTGTTGATTGTTGATTGTTGTTATACTTTCATGTTTTTGTATTGTATTTGCTTAGTAGTTGAAAATTCTCGAAAAGTCAACAATCATCAAAATCAACAACCCCATAAAAATTACAATCTCATACAATCATCAACAAACAACAATCAACAACAACATCAACAAACTACTACTAATCATGTCTGGTGGTCCTGTTCCAGTCTATAAAGTGAGTAAATCATCATTTACTCTTTGACTATCACTATACTAACAGATTATATCCAGAAATACACCCAAGGTTCAAGGGGTATATGGGAAAAAATTAGACAATTACTTGTAATTGTACCAAATCGTTCCACAGGTAATCCTGTTATACCATTATATAGATCACCACCACCAGGTCAATCTCCTAATGGTAAATATTATGAAGACCCTCATTCAATTCCAGCTGGTGATATCGTGGAAAATACTTATTTTAATAGAGATTCAAGAAGAAATTATCCCCAGTTAAGTTCATTTGATCAATTTAAAATTTCTGGTTTATTAAAAATTGGAAATTCTGTGGAACCAAGAGTTTCAATTGGTGAAAAAGGTTTAAAAGAATTAGCTTTAGTGCAAGATCCTTCAAATAGGGAAAATTATTTATCAAATTCTTTGAAAACTATTAATCAAGGGATTATTGATAAACAAGTCTTGGGTGATAATGGGGTTATTGTGGCTCCTAGTTTAGGTATTACTCAGAAAAGATCTGTTCATTTGGTTAATCAAGATGAACATGGGATGTATCCTGAAAATTATCCTGTTAGAATATTTAATTATCGTTGAATGATTTATTTATTACTATTTATTACTTATTTATTACTATTTATTACAATACACAATTGATATTTATTATTATATTATATTAGTGTATTTCTATATATTTGTATATATCATGATATTGAATTGCAGTATCTACTTGAAGTGAATCAGATTCTTCCTAGACCAAGCTGGCGCTTAGCAGCTTACCATCTGAAATGAAATATCAGTACATTTTAATCTCTTAATGTATATTTAAGAATTATTGTTCAAATCCTAGCGATCATGATCACCTAGTGATATAACTTATTCATAATTTAGTTTTAAAATCATATTGTAATATACCAAGCAATGAAGGAATTTAAAAGACTGAACATGATTCCATTAATTTAATATGACGGTAAAGATATCTAAAGGATTGGTTTAGCAATATCAGCTAGATATCTTTTTACTTTCAATCAATGTATCAGTAAGGTAAACTTCTAATTACAGATTATCATATTAATCAATGAGGAGATTATCAATTATATTTATACCGAGAGTTATTATATGCGAACTGATATCAATTTTGATTGTTAACATATGCGATCAACAATCAGTACAGATACATAAATATAAGAGGTGCATTATCTTTTGATATTCAGGCGTTTGAAATTAGGACTGTTTTACCAGAAAGAGTGGAATTCAATAACTTGTTCTTATCATATTCAACTAGTAAGTATCATGGTTATCACTAATTGAATGGTTTCTAATTGATTATAGTACTAACTTATAGTCATATGTGATAAAACATCGTTTATCATATAAGTTTTAATTCAACATTGAGAATTGTTATATGATCAGAACCATCAAAAGAATATTTCAACCGATCATGAAGAGAATCAAAAGATTGTTGAATTAAAGAAGTGAACCAAGATTATAAACAGTATATATGTGTAATCATCAGCACTGGGAATAAGGAGAGACACTGTGTAAGTGTGAGCACCGGTGATAATCATTTTAATACAATACGTCTTGTTTTATAAGGTGATTGAACATTGTCAATTAACAAATTATTGACAAGTTATTGAATTGAGTATAGAATGAATATGAAATTAGTGGCTAGGTGATTTGATAATTGATGGTTCATGGTGCTTTCATTAATCTAATTCACAAGAATAGCTGCTTAAGTTATGATATATCATTAAAATACATTGGTATTAGAGCTATTACAATCATTTCAAAATCAAAATTATTAAATTAAGACATATAAGCAAGAATTATAAACATGTTATTCAAACCATTTTTTCAAATTATAAAAAGATGAATTGTCAATTAAACATGGATCACAGCCCATCAAACACTTTCTGAACTATTATGATCTTGATGAACAGCTTGATGTTTTTCTCCATCATTATAATATCCATTCCCAACAGTACTTTGTTCATCACCAACAACACCTCTATGCTTAGAACTCAATTTATCAGGTCTATAAAATCTTAAATCAACACGTCCAGTTAAATATAATACATTAACTAAAGTTTCTAATAATCCAAGCATTATATACATAACAACAGGTTTAAAAATCCAAGATTGTGAAACTTTTTGATGTTCTAAAAAACATGAAACACATCTAAACATTGATGAAATAAATAAAATTAATGTTGTTAATGAAATAATTAAAATTGAATGATTATGTTTTAAATTTTCTCCCCGACATTGTTGAACTGAATTAATTCTTTTGATGTCGTTATCAGTTGTTGCTGTTGTTGAATTTAAACGACCTCTTGTTACACCAGGACCTGGAATATGAGTTGAAGCAATTATACGATGTGCACCAAATGCATTTGAATCACGTTGTTTAAAACTTGATTCAGCCTCCCTAGCAGAATTTTTTGGTACAAAATACCAAATTGAAAAAGATTCAATCCAATAAGGTTGATAAATCCAAACAGTTTGATCTTTTGAAGTTGATGGAATTAAAAAAGCAGCTAATACCAAAACAGCAGCTAATGAAACAAACAAAACACATAAAACAGAACCAGCTTGCATAACTTGTTTACACATCTTGAAACGATGTTCTGAAAGGAAATATAAATATGGAATACATTGTCCAATTATAGCCATAACAACAACTCCAGTAACAACAATATAAACTAAATACATATTAAACCAAAAAAATTTTGTTGAACCTAAATGAGGATGTCTCCATGTGAAAATTCTTTGTGCAAGGATTAAATTTAAACCAGCTAATAAAACAATTGGAATTATAAGGAAAACTTCACTAGCCATACCAGATTTCATTTTTAAAATATCTTTAGCCCAAACAATTCTCAGGGTATACCCCAAGAATCTCATAAATGAATAAAATGCAAATCCCAAACTTAACCAAAATTTATGACCTCTAGCCATATTCCTAGTGAATATATAAAGATGAGCCAAACAAAAAATTAAAAAAACAACAAGAAAAATTGCTGAAGGTGCAATATCTTTTGATGTTGGATAATCACCAAATATTGCCATTTGTTGACCTAAAGTATAATCAACAATCCAACTTGGTAATTTTTTACCAAGGAGTCCTTGGGCTCGCTTAACAAGGATTGTAACTCCTGTACCATCTGCTGCACCATTTGTTGAAGATTTAAAAGCTGCAATTAAACTTGAGGACATTTTGAAATGTTGTTTTATTGTACTGATATAAAGATTAGTGGATAATATCAAGATCAATATCAGGAAATATTGATTTATATATTTATTTATTATACAATTAAAGTTAAGCAAATTTCAACTGTCAATGATTAACTTTGTACTTAATTAGTACAATCATTATTACTTTTTAACGATCTTAATTGCTTAAAATGGTTTAAAGTTTTAATTTGAAGGGATTTTAAGGGTTTAAGGAATTACAGATTACCATCTAAATTGTATTAAACTTGGGGTAATTTATCACCATTTACATATGATTACTTATACAGCTATTAAACAAAAGTATAGTAAATTAAAGGTTTATTTTAATAACCGAATTACCCCAAATTAGTATAATCTTCTCGGATGAAATGATTATCGATGATTTTCATAAGGTTATATAAGTTTTGTACTTTAATCTAGTTGCAGATAAAGTGTATTGCAGTATTAAAGGGTATACGGTTATATTGAGTTTAAAGTATTTGTTTGACAGGATGTCCAGCGATTATTATATGATTATATGCTTTGAAATGAAGTAAATGACTTAGATTGGAACTAGAATTAAAGTGGTGCATGATACAGTATTTATATAGTTTATGAGATTAGATGATACTTGACAGATGATTTACTTATTGTTAACACACTATGATCAACTAACCTTACAATACACACTAAACACGGCGATTTACAAAGGGCTCTATTTCAATATAATAATACGAATCATTTCCCCAGTTTATTATAAATCACGGTACTCTGAATCACAATTTAACAGCCGTGCTTATAATCGTGTCTACTGCTCAGTGCTTACCCCATATGTCAAATGTCACACTTAGTAACCCACAAACAAAAGTTCATCAACACAATAAAACACACACTATAATCTAATACATATATATCCATCATCGCATAACGTTTCCTGTCTAATTCTAATATCAATAATATCATCAAGTCTTGTGTCATCTAAACTGTCTTGTCAAGTTGACTCTCACTGATAATAATTCTGATAAGCTGTGATCAGTGATCGCGGAGTCAGTCACCTTTGAAATTCGGGATTTGAAATACATTGCAACGCGTTAATCGTCAAACAATAAACTGATTATACGAGTATACAAAGATATGAAAAACATTCAGTTCATACTTTTATAAGGAAACATATGTTGTTACTATTATGAAATCCAACTCATAAAGTATCTCAATCATATCCTGCTTTCCTCTCATTGGTCAATCACAAGATCAGCCTAGTATTATCAAAACTTCCAAGACAAAAAATAAAATTAGAGGGGTCATTCAAAAATGAATTCTAGATTATCATCTTGGATTTCTTTGAAGCTAAAACAAAATAATATTCCATTGTAATTAATTGTTCCTGTTAACAAACGGCTATGACTTAATTAAGGCACTTTTATTTTAATCAGTTCAGATATCATAATAAGGTTTGGATAATCATATCCGAACAGGTTTATATCGTTTATATATAAGTTCAATTGGTACCAAATCTTAGATTATATCAAAACCTTCAATTGATACATAGAGCATACTTACAATATGTCAATACGAAATATAAATTCAAATAAAGATGAAAAATTCATCCATTCAAATTCAACAGAAGGTTTAGAACAAAATGAATCATCAACTGGTTATATCGATGATTTAGAATCTCAAACTGAAAAAGATATAGCTGATGAATTACAACAAGGTTTAAAAGCTCGTCATATTCAATTGATTGCACTTGGTGGTACTATTGGTACTGGTCTTTTTGTTGGTTCAGGTGCCGCATTAAGTTCTTGTGGTCCTGCTGGGTTATTAACTGCTTATTTAATTATGTCTATTGTTATATATTTTATTATGAATCAATTGGGTGAAATGGTTTGTTATTTACCTACAAAAGGTGGTGCAATTTCTGATATTGTTCAAAGATATGTTGATGAATCTTTGGGGTTTGCTACGGGTTGGATTTATTATTATACTTTTATTATATTAGTTTGTACTGAAGTTACAGCTGCTTCTATTGTTATTGATTATTGGACTGATAAAGTTCATATTGCAGTTTGGATTACAATTTTCTTACTTGTTATTATTGGATTAAATTTCCTTGCTGTGAAATATTATGGTGAAGCTGAATTTTGGTTTTCTTCATTGAAAATCATTTGTATATTGGGTCTTATTATCCTAGGTATTGTTATTTTTTTTGGTGGTGGACCAAATCAAACTTCAATTCGTGGTTTTCAATATTGGAATAATCCAGGTGCATTTGCTGAACATTTAAGTTCTGGTAACACTGGTAGATTCTTAGATGTTTGGACTGGTGTTATTAAATCAGGTTTTGCATTTATAACAGGTCCAGAATTAGTTGCAATTGCCGCTGCAGAAACTAAAAATCCAAGAAGAAATATCTCGAAAGCTGCAAGAAGATTTGTCTACAGATTAATGTTTTTCTATGTCATTGGTTCCTTGGTCATTGGTATTATGGTTCCATCAAATAATAAACAATTATTAAATGGGTCAAGTACTGCATCTGCTTCACCTTTTGTTATTGGGATTCAAAATGTTGGTATAAAAGGTTTAAATCATGTTATTAATGGTGCAATCTTAACATCGGCTTGGTCTTCAGGTAATTCATTTTTTTATGCTTCAACTCGTTCTTTATTATCATTAGCAAAAGCTGGTAAAGCTCCAAAAATTTTCCTTAAAATTAATAGATTTGGTGTCCCATGGGTTGCATGTTCTTTAAGTGCCGCAATTGGTTGTTTATCTTATTTAAATGTTTCAAGTGGTAGTGCTAAAGTTTTCACTTGGTTTACAAATATTTCCACAATTTCTGGGTTTATTGGTTGGATTATAATTGGGATTGCATATTTACGTTGGAGAAAAGCAGTTTTATATAATGATCTTTGGGATCGTGTACCTTTTAAAACTTATTTACAACCTTATGGTGCATATTTTTCAATCTCATTAATTTCTTTAATTTGTTTAACAAATGGTTATGCAACATTTTTTGATTTTAATGGACCAGATTTCATTGCTGCTTATATTACATTACCTGTTTTCTTTGGATTATATCTTGGTCATAAAATCTTTACAAAGAATTGGAAATTATGTTATCCAATTGATGAAGTTGATGTTATTAGTGGATTAGATCGTGCTGAAAAAGTTTCTGAAATTGCTCAAGCTAATGAAGATATTCCAACTACTTGGTATGGTAAATTTTGGTCATATTTAATGTGATCAATGCATATCAATATTATATATATTCAACAATCTGATTGATTTTATAGTTGAGCTGTCAATCAGATATGGTGCTCTGACAGTTAGTTGATCTACACTGTACTTGAAGTTCCATATTATAACCATATATTACAATATTCATGTTTCTCTTTTCGTTGTTTTTAGTTCACAAATGATTTAGCTGGAGTTAAGTTTTCTATACCCCATATTATAATATTTTAGAATATAAGATATAAACTGTATGATTTCGTAGTGAATCGCTATATACCCTAGCTGTAGTACAATGAATTGCTTACTCTCTTGAGCTCAAGTTACTTATACAACGGTATTTGAACAAATATTGATATATGTACGCTTATGCATGATAAGATAACTACATAGTAATAAACTTTAATACATGATTTGAATCAATCAGCTACCACTAGCGATGTGCTAATGTCATAACGTATGAGATGTGGTAAATATCAGCTATATATTGGTTGTAGTTCAAGTCATGGCCATGTATAGAAAGGTAACTCATGAATATCGTCTAGCTAATATATATTATACAAATTACTATATTAACGTATAACATGATTAGCTGCTCTGTATACATAGTCTATATGCCTACACGATATCCCATATATTAACCTAGCATGAGAACTAGTGTTATATTTGTATCATCTATAGTATCAGCTAATCATGAATATTGAATTTATATTGATCGTCCGATTGTTGATTAACAAGCTGTAGCTGATCAGGTTATAATTCCAATTTTCAAATAACCGTTGCTTTTTATCAATTAAGATCTACTGATATGGTTGTATGGTTGTATGGTTGTATAATATTTCCTTTAATATTTTCAATTATATGACACCAAAAGTTGAAACGATAGCAGATCCCCAGTTATGTATTGTACTATTGTACTCCGTATAAAGATAGTCATGAGATACGAAGGATCCAAGATTCTGTATTCGTTAGCATTAAATAATACGATCCACATGTCGGAGTTGTACTGCAATAGATCATGATAACGAAAAAGCGGGTTCTATTTTGTGTCATTTTATAGTACGATTCTTATATACTGAATATTTAAACGAAGTGGAAATCAAAAGTTGCAGTTCTATCAATTCCCGATGATAAGATACTGCACTAGATACACAAGGTCTAGATTTTCAGCTTTTGCTATATCCCATGAATTCTATAAAGTCAGAAACAGTCAAGTTGAAGTTTCACAACACTTAAACCTCTTGAACAACCATATATACTTACTTACCGGTCTATAGGGTCTACGCTTATTCTTTCACAATAGTAGTATATTTGCGCTCCGCGCGGTGCTATAAGTCAGACAGTGAACTTAATAATATTTGTACCTTGTTGGAGCTTTCAAATTTCAACGCCTTGGCTGATCTGAAACTTAACTTCTACACGGCATAATTATCACTTGGCATCTGCCAATCAGATGGAGGAATTCTGGAATATGTGCTTGATCAAACGGATTAATAAAGTGCTGACTTTTTCTACTGAGTCACCAGTACTGTTTATTTTATAGAGTATGTCATGAGTTAGACTCCACGCGTACTTCACTTGATCTTTGAGCTACAAACACTTCAGTTGCTACTAAGTAGAGCAAGAACAGATCATCACAAGAGTCTTTATTAAAATGTATAAAGGGCGTTTTATTATCTGACCATCCTGGTCTGTTGCGCGCGCAATCGGGCTCTTTTCAAGCTTTTGGCCAATTAAAATTCCGATTGATAACAGCGATTCTTTAACATGTCAGGCATACAAAGTAATTTATCGTAAAAAATTTGTTAACTGATTGGTTTCAAAAGAAATAAAATTTGCATAGGCTTATCATCTTCATTCTGATAAATGTTCATGACACAATATTATTTATCTTTTGACCCCAACGTATCTATAATTTTATATGTTAGTTGTTTGTGATGATTGAGATGATCTTTTTCATATCTTGAAGTTTATATATAACGTGGGAGATCCCATATTTATTATAAACAACTTTATTCTTTCATACAGTTTAATAATATACTATTATAGAATCACAGACATTTTCAATATGTCACACAGTATAAAAGATGAAAAGTTTAATGATAGCTTAAACATAGCAGAAGCAGGAACTGGTGATTCATCAGCTGGTTATATTGAAGATTTAGAATCACAAAATGAACATGATATTGCTGATGAATTACATCAAGGTTTAAAATCTCGTCATATTCAATTGATTGCCCTTGGTGGTTGTATTGGTACTGGTTTATTTGTTGGTTCTGGTTCTTCTTTAAGTTCTTGTGGTCCAGCAGGTCTTCTTACTGCTTATTTAATTATGTCTACTGTTATTTATTTTGTTATGAATCAATTAGGTGAAATGGTTTGTTATTTACCAAATAAAGGTGGTGCTATTTCTGATCTTGTTCAAAGATATGTTGATGAATCTTTAAGTTTTGCCACAGGTTGGATTTACTTCTATACTTTCTTTATTTTAATTTGTTCTGAAGTTACAGCTGCTGCTATTGTTATTGAATATTGGACAGAAAAAGTTCATATCGCAGTATGGATTACAATTTTCTTACTTGTTATCATTGGTTTAAATTTCCTTGCAGTTAAATACTATGGTGAAGCTGAATTTTGGTTCTCTTCAATGAAAGTTTTCTGTATTTTGGGTTTGTTAATCGTTGGTATCGTTATCTTCTTTGGTGGTGGTCCAAATCAAACTTCTGTTCGTGGTTTCCAATATTGGAATGATCCAGGTGCATTTGTTGAACATTTAAGTTCTGGTAATACTGGTAGATTCTTAGATGTTTGGACTGGTGTTATTAAATCTGCTTTTGCTTTCATTGTTGGTCCAGAATTAGTTGCAATTGCCGCTGCAGAAACACAAAATCCAAGAAGAAATATCGCTAAAGCTTCAAAAAGATTTATTTATAGATTAATGTTCTTTTATTGTGCATCTGCTTTAGTTATTGGTGTCATTGTTCAATCAAACAACAAAAGATTATTAAGCGGTTCAAGTACAGCTTCTGCTTCACCTTTCGTTATTGGTATTCAAGCTGTCGGTATTAAAGGTTTAAACCATGTTATTAATGGTGCTATCTTAACATCTGCTTGGTCTGCTGGTAACTCATTCTTCTACGCAGCTACACGTTCATTATTATCATTAGCTAAAGCTGGTAAGGCACCAAAAATTTTCTTAAAAGTTAATAAACAAGGTGTCCCATGGGTTGCTTGTGCTTTCACTGCTATCATCTGTTGTTTATCATATTTGAACGTTTCAAGTGGTAGTGCTCAAGTCTTTACTTGGTTTACAAATATCTCCACCATTTCAGGTCTTATTGGTTGGGTCATCATTGGTATTACATACTTACGTTGGAAAGCAGCTGTTAAATTCAATGGTCTTTGGGATCGTGTACCATTCAAAACCATTCTTCAACCATATGGTACCTATTATTCTATTGGATTCATTTCTTTAATTTGTTTAACAAATGGTTATGCTACATTTTTTGATTTTGTTGCTGCAGATTTCATTGCTGCTTATATCACATTACCAGTTTTCTTTGGTTTATTTGTTGGTCATAAAGTCTTTACAAGAAATTGGAAATTATGTTATCCAGTTGCTGAAGTTGACGTTCTTAGTGGTTTAGAACGTACTGAAAAAATGACAGAAATAGCAAAAGCTAATGAAGATAATCCAACAACTTGGTATGGTAAAGCCTGGTCATGGTTATTATGATCTTGAATTATATTTTAAGTTTGGTAGTTGAACTACCTGTCTAATGAATAATATTACTAGTATTTGGGATCATCAGTTGATCTATTGGTCTCTTATACAACATATAATATGTATATAAATTGTTTTGTTTCTGTTTTTATATGAGGTTTTGGTTTATACGTACTAGATTGATAATACTATAAATAATAATTATAATTATATTCCTGAAAGCACGTGTAGTTTTTAAAATCACCTCACAATATTGTTGAAAGACACTAGCTTATCCTCCTAATTATTAATTATATATCGAAAAGATCGCTTTCAAAATTCAGAGTGATCTTGATCCAGTTGTTCGAACTCAAGTCATTTTCGACTAGCTTGTTAGAATTTGTAATATTATTATGAACGTCTAATGGATCACACCAGATTCTCTCGACCTACAGCTCGACACTAGCTAAAATACATTAAATATCAGAGGCAATAGCAGATCAAACGTCTTATATACACACTAGTATGACTTTGAACAACTTCATTACAAAGAGACACTATACAGCTACCCACCAAAGCTACAAATTACCTTATATATATATATATATTGGAGTTTGGGTACTATAATTGTTTAAGATTTCGTAAATGTATCCTTATGCATGACCAGATCTTAGACCAAAAAACCATGATCCAGAATGCAAGTACTAACTAGTAACTAGTAACTACTAACCTGAGTACTTACACTCAGTTCTAACCATGGGATTAATTGTAAGCGAAGTTGATAAGCCATGAAAATAATAGTGTAGAGGCTTTAATTGCTTTGTTTAAAACCCATATATCAAATCTAGAGTACGTCGTTTCAAGGCCCATGACTAGCTATGCTAATGCGAAGCTCAAGAAGACCCATTTGTTTACAAATTCTTCATTATACGGGTATCGTCAACTTCAAGATACGTCGTATTTAATACCACCATGTAAATTCCCAAATCATAGTGTTGAACAATGGGTATTCAATCTAATAGCGGTCTAAATTCTGATATTTTTGGCCATGGCTTGTAAATATATGCCATTTTGTATAAAAGTACAATTAGATTCTCGAAACTCTTATATATAGAATGGTCATAAATGTCAATACTCAATTGGTACTTAGTACAGTCAATCGATAAGACTTACGTTAAACGTGTAAGCTATTAGTTTACCGCCACATTTGAGTTATTAGTAACATAAGATAGATACTTGAAATGTTTTATTAAGATAAATCAACACTCAAGATATATAGCTCTAGGAAATTAAGTTCCTTTGTAGTTGTATACATTATACAGCATATTGCAACAAACTGGACTTACTTCAATAAGCGTTATACCTGTTTTGAAGTCCATATCTAATGATCTTTAGTGAATATGGAAAGCCACTAGCCGAAATCTAATACCCATAGAAACATTCCTTTGCCTATAAGAAAAACTTGAAAAGCACAATCATCGCTCAAAAGTTACACGAAGGGAGAAAACTCAAGACTTTGCTAAATGAGCATCTGCTTTTAATGTCTTTACATCAGAAGTCTTAGCATCCAGTACTAGCTTAGCACTATCTTCAGATTCCAACTTCCAACCACCAGAAGCGATTATCTTTGTCTGTATTGTTGCGTATCTGGTCAAATTCTCCAGCGCGTTATTGTACTTTAGTGCACTTTGAAAATCGAAATGTAAACGCGGTTCACTGTTTGGACTTTTGCAAAGATCTCGTTTGTTAAGTGGCGACTTGCTCTACATTACATGGGTTTTAATTCCAACTTTTGAGAAGCTGATCCAATCAGGCGAATGGTGTTCTTCGGTGCTCAGTTAGTTTACTCTGGAAGAAACAGTGGTTGTTATCAAAATATGAGGTAAAGAGTGTTATTAGGATGTTAAAGATCAGCCCTCAACAATATGGAAATCTTGTTAATGAGGACAAACGTTGAGGCAAAGGGACCGGGATATACAACTTAAGCTCACAAACTAATCTTTACTTTCTGGGTGGGTACCTGGTCTGGTTATGCATAAATTCAATCAAATACCTTTCTAGAAGCTCTTTCTAGAGGGACTCAAACTGGACTGGAGACTGGCACTTGTAAAGAAAATGCAGTTGCAAATCAAACAGTTATACTGCTACAAATAGACGGTGTTTGGCAGAAGAACCAGAGAGATTTTAAATTTTGATCATAGAGAATGCTCACTGCTCAGCTACCAGTTTATGTTTCTCGCTTGGATACCTTCTGACCTTTGAGATATACAAATTACCAGTTGCAACATGATATATGTCGCCGAATTGCGGAAAGAAATTACTAAATATATGATAGCCAAGTAAGAGAATGCGTGTTCAATTCAAACCATTAACTGGATCGCCTACATTGATAATATGCAACAGGTTACATATCAAGATGAACCGTGTTTTTTCTTCCAAAAAAGGGACTTATCAAAAATTTACTGGCAAAAAATTATATATTGTTTTCTTGATCCCAATATTATTATAATCAGAGTATATTTGGGTTTAAAATCTTTCCTAATATATTCAAAAACATACCATTGAGTTTCACATTTCATTTAAATTTTGGTGCTATAAAGAACATTCCGATCAAGGATAAACAGGTAGCAAATTCTTTGGAATCTACCAATTGGGACCCAATTCAACTCCAAAATGAACTCACAAGATTATTCAGATCCTAATCAAAAGAATCAATCAAATCAATATTATCAACCCTTCACAGCTCCAGAAAATTTAACCCAAATACCACCACTTATAGATCAAGTATCTCATCCTTACGTCCCAACAAATACAAATGTTTTCCCTTCTTCAAACGTTCCATTTGAAGGCCTACAAGCTGGTAATTATCCCATCAGACCAATTCCAGATTTAGGATATAATACTTTACCAGCTAATCCATCACCATATCCATATTCCTCCTTTGGAACAACTATGACAACAACGAGCTTTGAAAGCTTTAATCAATCAGACGATGGTATTTATAGAGCCACAGGTCCATCAGAATCCCAAATTCCTAAGCCTACTTCAATTGATAATCGCATCACAAATTTAAGCTTACCATTTGTCAATAATGCTAAGCCAAATACAATCCCAATTGCACAGAATGAACCATCAGCTACATTTAAATATAAAACTTCTTCATTATCATCAAGTGATGGTATAAATAAGCCTTATAAAAGACCAAGAAGGAGGTCCGATCAGATTGATCGTTATTATAGTTGCACTTTTGAAGGTTGTACAAAGAGTTATGGAACTTTGAATCATTTGAATGCACATGTATTATTACAGAAACATGGTCCAAGAAGAAAACCCAGTGAGTTCAAAGAAGTGAAGAAGATTGCAAGAGCAAAACGGAAAGAACAACAAATGCTCAAAAATATTAAGGAATTTTCAGAAAAGAATAACTTGATGTTCATTCCACTTAATCAAAATCAAGCTATAGCAAATGCTAATAATGTATCAAGCAATTCAAATCAGTCAAGTCCAACTGAAATATCCGAATCAAGTCCTGAAACGTTAGGCTTTACAACCCCTCAAGTCACACAACAAACACAACCAATGCATTTAAACTATAATTATTCAGCTGGTTTGAATTTTCAGGTAAATGAGCAGTTCAGTGAGCAGCAAGTGAATCCATCTCAACTTCAACCAATTCAAACAAACTACAAAGCTCAACAAATACAAACCCATCCACCCCAAGCCCAAAGCATCAAACTAGAATTCCCAGTGCCTAACTTCAAATCCACATAACAAACTTTAATTCATTTATCATATTGAATTAATAGTTTACAAATTATGTTTGATATTGGAAATATCAGACGAAACCATACTGAGATCATAACTTAGACAAAAAAAAAATTATATACATAAACTGGTGTTATATTCGGCTCTTTTCTGGTGTTACTACTTTTCCTTCCTTATCCTATACTTGTCATGATCATTTATTTATTAACGCAATTAACGTTTGGTTTTTTCTCTTTTCAGCAATTTTGAATATACGTTCTACTTCCATTCATTTCAAACAAGAAATAAATATATTTATATAAACGCTCATGTAGTATGTAATAATAATATTAACGTGAAATATGGTATGGGCTGTTACATATTATCTACGTCTGTACTGTATCTCAAATCTAAGTGATTACTATATATTGAAATGATTGTATCTTTATATAAAAATTTGTATAACATGACTAGATAGCGCTAGCTGATCATTTACAACAGTTAAAATTGAATGTATTTTCAACTGATGAGGTTCCACCATTATATATAGTGATATAGCACATAGCAAATAGTAGGTAGTCAGTCAGACTGTGATAAAGCATACAAATCAATAATCAGGATTCAGAGGGTATTTACAAACAGAATTAGATTTGAGAAAGATCTTCTGTAAAAAAGTGTACCCACCCATAACTTAAGGTTAACATGTTAACATATATATAGCACTTCAATTATGCGGTATACTGCGGCCTTCATGTCGGTATAGCTATTGAAGCCGCTAAAAGTTTAGTCTCGCAAATATGATAAGCAAAGTTCAGTAGTTTTCAGTGACCAAAGGATTGGTAAAGATAAGTGTATTCATCTTAATGTGCCTACGGACGATGGTGGACTAGGTTTTCTTTGTGAATAATTGCGCCTTACACTTGTAAGTTGTAACAAATCATAATTCTGGTTGTAGAGCATGTCAACTTGAAATTAATTTCGAATATATTTTGTTACTTATGAATACATCTATATAGCTTATATTAAAGTAATCAGACCTTTTTAGACCCTTCTAAAGCAGTGAAGCTTTTCAAATATTAAAAAAGTGAGCCTTAGGTTGCCTTTGAACTAGATTATAGCGCCATAATCATGTTGTAAGAATTCTCGCTTTTGTTAAGTCTATAGCTGATCTCAGACTAACGATCTAGGTACCTGCTTAAACCAGAGATATTAGGACCATATTATAAAGCCTACTTAAAGCCGGTTTAACATGTAATGCTAATCTTATTTAGAGACATCTTCTCAGATTTTGAGTACCCTAGAACTAAAACTATAGGACGTGGTAACTAGTGGTGATCTCTTACACATGAATCGAAATAAGAACACAGGCGGGAGACGAAAATGTATGATTGTATCACTTGTATATCCAAAATATGTAAGAAAAACACAGTAATAGCTTATCAAAAGCAGTTACATCGTATCTTCTAGTGAACGCGTACTAATTCATTTATCAAGGTGTGTTCCCCTTAGTTCATATCATATTGAATATAATGTACTATAATTCACAAACCTTTCAGATCGGCTCATTATGAATATATATTTATTGAAATACAAGAAAGGAAAATCAATACGTTATAATCATTCCAGCTCTATAAAGAATGTACCGTGTAAGTTGAAAGAGGACTCTATAATTAAGAAAATCGAACGCTGAATAGAGCTTAAAAGTTGTATTATGGTCCGTCAAGCCTGTCAGGTCATATGTATGAATGTTTAGTTTGATATTTTAAGCCACCCTCAACTTTATCATGCGTTGATGTAAATTCCTACTTCTTAATGATCACTTGTATCATGTGAGCTTTAAACATTGAACTATATTTGCACAATAAAAGCTGTACATATATATGAAGCTTCCAACTTGCAAATTCTACTCACATATGAGACGAAGTGAGCATGAATTGATTTAAAACTAATCCAGATAATTTCATATCAACTCGTGAATAAGAAATGGGGTCAACATCTAGGTATAGAGTAACGTTTGGTATTGGAATCATTCAATAATCAGAAGCTTTATGAACTTTTTGAAGCGATTACCTGTCATACCCACACTTTTGTACAATAGAAAACTTTTGAAAATTTGAATATTATGTAGTTGCCTTGAAAATTGCTTTCTGAATTACATGATTTGTTTGAATATTCACGTGTAACCAAATTTCAATGTTATCCCTTAAAGCTGCCGAGGTGTCATATCTTCAACCAACGCAATCAACTAAAGGTAAAGAATTGATATACAATCCAGCTTGATCTCAAGACATGTAGTTGTATATCATGTTACTTAATTCTGATTGATGTTTTAATATGATTGATCAACTTGCTTAACTCTTAAAATTAATGTTTAACCGAGAACTCATGAACATATATTTTCTACTCAAAATTCAAAGATGATGTTGCATTTCCAGTTCAAAAGCGGAAAATTCAATGATACGATCATATCTCATAAGCTAAAAGAACTAAAATTATCGTTGTTTTAGCAACTCATTTCAAAGCTTCAGCGGCTAACAGCTAGCTGATACAAACTGACTTAAATGTTAATAGCGAATAAATGTATTATTAGACATTAATTACCAAAATTGAGCCTACCAATAACCGTACCTGAATAGTTTTTTCATCGTAATAAAGTAACTATATTCCATAATTATTAGCTATAAGTATAAGTTGTCTCTTATTGTCAGTTACTCAATAGATTTAAACCAGCTAACAAATTGTTTTCCAAAACAGCTGACTATCAATTTGGTACATTGAATTTTTGACAATTTCTGTAATCTAAAGATATATTATGAATAAAAATGAATATTGATGTTGAAATGCTGATTCGATTAGTTGAATGATAAGCTATATCTAGCCTATAACCTTAGTTCTATATCGTTTACCCGCTCTGTTGAATTAATCAAACACAACTTATAATCATCACAAATCATACCTTATTACCCCAGATCTGGTAATATATCGCCAACCCAACTTTAAAACGAACATTTGATCGATTACACTCATAATCTTTTGGTATAAAAGTCAACAATGCATTTAAATCATCGCGAATTTCTTTCAAGTTTTTTTCTGGCTATGAATGAAGTTTTATTTGAACAGCCCGAAAGAAAACAAGGCGCTGCGAAGCTGCGAGTAATTTATGTATTCAATTGAACAGAATAAGATTAGATCGAACCTAAAATCAATCCAGATATGAATATCGTGAATATCAATTGACCAATACAGAAACTCAACTGATCTAAACTTTAACACACTCGTACTGTACTTGGGAGAACTTCTAAACACATACAACTACGAATTGATTGCTGAATCTACGCTGGAAAATTGGAACCAGCTTGTTCGAATGGCCGATGCCCTAGGCGAGTAATCCACAAGTAATAAAGTACGTACGTACTGAGCAGCACAAATTTCTAGAAGCGTATTTCCGCTGTAAGGCGACAGCAGGGAACTTTTTTTAGCTCAAATCTTGACATATGAGCTTTGTAGGTAGATTAAGGTAGAAGGAAGATGAATTACCTGGTACTGCCTATAGTTAATTAGAAGAAGTTGCAGATATTAAAGTAGACAGTTCAAATCTCGAGTCCACTGAATCTTGATTTCTGGTAGAATGAACTGGGGCTTAATGGAAGTGATCCTGTATCCTGTATATAACTTACCTTTTTTGAGGTTAGTTGTATCTCGCTTGAATAATTAGAGTAGACGCATATAACGTGAGCAATGCTACTTCATAGTATTCAATTTGATTGTTCTATATATGGCATCAATTACTGGTGTTAGTGAGAAGACGTAGTAACCATACACTCCTTCACAAACGTATTTCAAATGCTTTATGAACATCAAGATCTACTGAGACCTCCTGAGTATCCTATATGGCTTCTTGGTATCCAATCCTGCCCTTTGTTTGTGATTATCCATGTTGAATGCTTTAAAACTGAAACTAATTTCAATTTGGGATCGACTTATGTCATAATTGAATTTGAGAATAGGTGCTCTGACAACAAATACTCATAGAGAATACTTAGCGAAATCCCAGCTCTACAGGGTATCAGGTATAGTTAACAAATTATTTTGCACCCTTGAAAATCCCACTTCCAAAGGTCAATGTTTACTCAATCACACTTCCCGAAACGGAACACTTCCGGAATAGGAAACCAAATTGTCCGTTTTTGTTTTGATAATTTGTTTATTATTACCATGACAACAATTACCAAATTGGGGAAATTTCAAATGAGAGTGTTCCTAATGCTGGCGCATTTCATTTTTTTGCTTTAAAATTATAAACATCTCTGTGAATTTGCAAAGAAGAAAAAAAAGTCATCATCTTGAACAACAATTCATTTATAACTAAACTTATTTCCTTCCTACATTTAGTTGTTTTCAAGATTTTAAGAAAACTTTTTGATAAATTCTTAATTCACAATCGCTTTATAAAAAACAATTGATTCATCAACATGAGAGTGAATTTTGGTGCTTACATTGCTCAAATAATTTTATTAGCTGGGTAAGTAAATTTTAAGGGTTAAATTTTAGCTTAACAACAAAAGAAAGATGAATTACTAACTAAAATTTTATAGTTTAACTTTGCTTTTAGTTTTCATCGTTTTATCAGGTTCAATTGAACATTTCCCAATTAACAGATTTTACTGGATTGAAGCTGATACATCTGATATTAGTGGTGCTCCAGATATTTCAAGATGGACTTTTTGGGGGTTATCATCAAAAGATGGTAAATCTAACAAAAGAGAACAATTAGCTCCAGCTTACCCATTCTCACCAGTTGATAACTTTGATACTACTGAAAATGTTCCAAAAGATTTCCAATCAAATGAAAAAGTTTACTACTACTTGTCAAGATTCTCATTCGCTTTCTTCTGGATTGCTTTAGCTTTTGTTGGTGTTTCTTTATTAATCTCAATCTTTTCAGTCTTTTCCTATTCAGTCATTAAAGTTAACTCATGGTTAACCACTTTAGCTTTATTATTTGATGCCGGTGCTGTTGCTTTCATTACTGCTGTCGCTGTTTTAGGTAGATCAGCTTTCAAAAGTGACAACAAATACGTTCATTTAGGTCCAGCTTTATTAGGTATTGCATGGGCTTCAGTTGCAATTTTAATTATTTTATTCTTCTTAACTTGGGGTGAATTAATCGCTGCTTCTTACAAAAAACATAGAACTAGAGTTCAAAATGAAAAAGCTGAAGAAAACAACGCTTATGTCCCACCAGCTCAAAATGATCAAATTCCAGCACCACCAGCTCAACAAACTCAATATGCTAATGAAGACCCATATGCTACTCAAAAACAAGAAAACTTGAACAACACTGATAGTGGTATTAAATTCTTCAAAATTAGACGTCATAACAAAGAAGATGGTGAATCTGTTTAAATTCATTAGATGCTAAAATTTCCATAAACATTGTCAATTAAATTGATTTTTTTATCAAATAATGATACCAAGTCCAATCATTAAGTTGATTGAACTTTTTTAACCATTTTATTTTATTTTTTTATATCAAAGATATGACAATATATCCGTTTTAATAATAGTACCATTAATTTTTTTTTATACATCAATCAAATATTCAATTCAGGATTATATTGTTTTCAAAATTTTAATAAATTTTTCTTGCTCTACAGCTGATTTAATTGGAACAAGTTCTTAATGCATTTATTATATTACATTATGAATAACTTGTGAATTATGATTGTATTGATTGAGCTTGTTTTCCACTCTTTTTTCCCCTTTCATTTACGTTTTTTTTCCCCCCACCAATTTCTTATTAATATTGATGATTTTGATACCATGTATGATTTTGACATTTTACAAACAGTTATTTCTATTATCAGTCCTTGGTATAGTTGTATTATAAACTTTGAATTATACGTTGATCATTTGAATTTTAAAAGTAGTTGATCAAAATTGAGAACGTTTATACTGCGGTGACCCGTAACAACTTTCGCATACTGTTACGAAATTCGACTGTCGCGAAGGTCGGGTGGCAAAATTCGAACAAATCGAAATTGAAATTATTTAGCAAATTTTCATAAACCGACTTGAACTTGTACGGTTTACCAAAACATAAACAATAAACAAAGCGCTGCTCTTTGACACATTTTATACGTGATTTGAAGAGATATAGTATCAACATTGAGTGGTAACTGTTGGCTTAATAGAAATTGGTGGTAATATATTTGTGCTAGTGATTTGGATTGTTTTCCCTGAAATTTCGTTGGTTTATCCCTTTATATAAACAAGCAATAGGTGTTAAACTATAGTATACCCACATATCTTTTTATTCAATTAATATTTCAATATGTCTTCTAATCTTATGAATTTTGATAGACAACAAGAACATGCTTTTGATAATGCATTGGTCCAAGGTATTCAAGCTCTAGACAGTTATGATGCTTCTCAAGTGCCTCAACATCTACAACAATCTCATAATCTATTAAGACACCAACAACAACAGCAACAACAGGTTCAACAACAAGTTCAACAACAACAAGCCCAACAAGCTCATGCCCATCAACAGCAAAATATTCAACGTTTAGATCATACAAATGATCAACACAATCAAAGACTCCTACAACAAGTTCCAATTGATCCTTCTATAAATGATAGTGCATCTGAGAAAGCAACAGCGGCAGCAGTAGCAGCTACAGCAGCAGCAGATTTGATTAATGTTAGAAACACTGCTCAGGCAGCTGTGGAATCATCAAACAAATTGAGAAGTTCAAATTCTACAACACCATCAGGTCCAAAAATCACAAAACCAAGAGTTAATAAGCCAGGACAAAAATTTGGTGCCAAAAAGAAATCATGGGTTTGGAATTGGTTTTTACAAGATCCAATTGATTCAAACATTGCAACTTGTGATTTTTGTGGTAAAATTATTAGAAGATTGGCTTCTGATAAAGGTTCACCAAAAAAATTAGGTGAACATTTGAAAACTCATAAAATTGATAAAAATTCTATAAATGATAAAAGAGATTCAGTCATTGTTAGCGATGCTAATCGTCATTATTTTAATACTTTGAATGCTACAAACCCTTTCAAACAACATCCTTTAAGTAATGAAGCCCCAACTGATGCTACAACAAATGATCCAGATTCTCGTGCACATTTACAAACTTATAATCGTCATCCATCAACAAGTACATCTCAAACCACAGCAACTTCAACAGCTGATTTTACAACTTCATCAGAGCCAACAAATTCATCAGGAACAAATTCAACAAATAATCCTAATTTTGATAAATCAGAATTTGAACAATCACCATATACTCAACCAAAATTTCAAAAAGATATCATG